TATATTATATATATAAATTTAAAAATATAAATTTTTTATATATATAAAATATATATTTAATATTTTTTATAAAATAATTTTTACATGATGTATATTTAAATTTTTATATATAAAATATAAAATTTTATATAAATATATATAATATATTTTTATATATAAATATATTTTTTAAATATATATAGATATTTTTTATATATATTTAATATATTTTTAATATATTTTTTTATATATATATATTTTATTAATATATTTTTATATTATTTATTAATTATTTATATATATATTTTATTTAAAATAATTTAATAAATTAATTTTAAAAAAAATTTTGGATTTTAAAATTTAAAATATATTTTATATAATATATATAAAATTTTTTATAATATAAAATTATAAAAAATATATTAATTTTTAAAATTTATATATATATATATATTTTTTATAATATATATATATATTATATATATTTTATATATTTATATATATATATTATATAATTTATATATATATTTTTTTTATATAATTTTTATATAAAATATATATAATATATATATATATTTAATTTTAATATATATTTTATATATATATATATATTTTATATTTTTTTTAGTTTTAAAATATAATTTTATTATTAAAAATATAATATATATTTATTTATAATTTTATATTTTAAAATATATATATATAAATATATATTTTTAATAAAAATATTTAAAAAATATATAATATATATTTTATATATATATATATTTATTATATATAATTTTATATAATATTTATAAATATAATAAAATTTTTAATTTATTAATTTAAAAAATATATATTATTTATAATTTTTAAATATATAAATTTAAAATATTTATAACATATATATTTTATTATAAATATATATAAATATTTATAAAATATAATATATATATATATATATTTATTTTTAAAAAATAAAATATTATAATATAAAATTTTAAAAATAATTATTTTTTAAAAAAATAAAATAATTTTTAAAAAAAAAAAAATATTAAAATAACAAATTTTTTTAAATTTTTTAAAATAATTTTTTAAATTTTTAAAATATTTAAAGGGTATAAAAAATTTTTTTATAATAATTTTAATTTTAAATTTTTTAAAATTTTAAAGGTTTTCAAAAATAAAAATTTTTCTCTAAGATAATAAACAAATTTTAACTTTAAATTTCCCAGAAAAATTTTTAAAATTACAAATAAATATTTTATATATTTTTATATAAAATATATTTTATAAATATTTTAATATATATATATATATATATTTTAAATATATTTTATATATATTTTTTAAATATATATATATAATATATAAATAATTAAATTATTATTTAAATAATAAAAAATAATTTTAAAAAAAAAAAATCATAAAATAAATAAATTTTTTAAAAAACAATTGTTTTAATTTTAAATTTTATTAAACTTATTAAAATATTTATAAATAGGGGGAAATTAAATTTTTATTTTATAATAATATTAAATTTTTAATTTTTTTTAAAAATATTAATTTTTATTAATTAACATTTTTTAAATTTATTTTAAATAAAGAAGGGGAAATTAAGGGAAAAAGGAAAAATTATTTAAATTGGGGAAATTGGGGAAAATTTTTAAAACCCAATTACGGGGGGCCAAAAATTCTTAAATATTAAAATAATTTATAAAAATATTGGTTAAAATATATTATAAAAAAATAATTTTAAAAAGGGAAAATTATGAAAGATATATAAAATTTATATTTAATTTAAATTAGACTAACTAAAAAAATAATTTTTAAAAATTTTTAAAAATTTTAAAAATTATTAAATTGGGGAAATATTAATTTTAAAAACATTTTAGGGGAAAAATTTTAATTTTTTATTTTAAAAAATGGGTCAAATTAAATAATAAAAATAAATTTTAAAAAAATATTTAAATTTAAAATAAAGGGGGTTTTTTAAATTTATTAAATTATTTATAATAATAAAAGTTATATAATTTTAAATTAAGGGGAAAATTTTAAAATTAGGGGAAATTAATTTATATATTGGATTTATCCCAAAAAATAAATTAACTTTTTAAAATTTATATTAATTTGGGGGGATCAAATTTTTTATTTTTTGATAAAGGGAAAAATTTTGGATTCAAAAGGGGGGAGGTAATGGAAGAAGTGAAAGTTTTTCAGGGGTTTTTTTTTTTGGGGTTATGCCTTCGGGGGAGGAATTTTGAAAAAAAATAATTATAAAATTTATAAAAAATATTTTTTAATTTTATTTAAAAAAAAATATTTATGGAAAAAAAATTATAAATATATATTTAACCAAATTTTATAAGTTAAATTTTTTTAAATTAAAAAAAAAACTTTTGGAAAAAAAAAAAAATGTCCCCCGGGGGAAAAACAAAGTTGGGTTTAAAAATTTTCCCGTTTGGGGGTGCTTTGGAAATTTGGGAGAATTTTTGGGGGGAATTGCTTAGGCGGGCATAAAGGGTTTTTTGGGTTGGGGGTTCAAGTTGGGGAAAATTCAAAGGGAAAAATTGGACCCCCGAAAAGGGGGATAGGGAAAAATTATAGGGAAGGAAGGAGGGGTTATTTTGGGGGTTCCCGTCCCCCAAAGGGGGGGAAAGGGGGGGTAAAAGGGTTTTGTTGGGGTTTGGGGGTTGGATTTTCCAAAAAAGGTGATGGCGTGGTTTGTTTTGGGGGGTTTTGGGGCGGGAAATGAATTTCCCCCCTTGGGGGCCTCACCAAGGGGGGTCTTTTGGGGTGTTTACCCCGGGGAAAATTTTTTGGGAAAGTTAAACCCGGGAAAAAAGGGTTTGTTCAATTTCGGAAAAAATTTATTCCCGTGGAAAAAGGGGGAAGGGGCAAATGCCTGATTTAAAGGATGGGTTTTGGGATATTGGGAAATTTTGGGGGGGGGGAATAATAAGTGGGGCAAGGGGAATCTCCCAAGTGTTGGTACTTCTTGGAAACACCCTCTTTTGGGAAACCCCGTTATAATTTTTGAGGTTTTGAAAAGGGGTTTTGTGGGGGAAAGTTTTTCTTTGTGGGGAAAATTTTTTTCATTTTTGGGTCACCCCTTTTTGTGGGACGGAACAAAGTTTTAAAAAAATAAATTAAAAATTAATTGGGATTTTTAAATAAACAAAATACATTTACAGAAAAAAACATAAACATGAATACAATGGCACAATTTTATCAAAGATGATGAATTTCCTCCAGCTCCTCCGAGGCTGGACGTGAGCCAAGTATGCAGCAAGCATTTCCCCTCTGGATGGCGACGCTGAGGCGCTGGAACATGAAAGTGGCTGCCCTTGGGTCCCTGGTGGTGTCGATGAGTCTGGAACCCAATTCTTTAAGGAAACGTGTGGCATTTTTTCCCCATGATCCAAAGGTCTCTGATCCCACTGGGACAAATTGATACTGTTGGCTAATGTCCCTGTACTTGCTGATCTTGTACTCATCCCTGTGGTCAGCAGCTCCTCCCTGTCGCCCCACACTGTGATGGATATAGGTGTCAGCCAGTGTGGACACACAGGTATAGTCCCATGCTAAGAGCTTGCCATTCTTCCAAGGATAGATGGTGATCCCGTCGTGGCGGTTTGCTGGGTTGTGGGTATTGTTTGCTGCAAGTGATCGTGGCTCCCTCTCGGCAGGGCATCTAGCTGTAGCAAGGGTTCTCTTAATGATGTCGTTGACCTCATTGTGTCTTGCATGCCAGCCCTTGCTTTTGGAACAGTTAAGACCATGTAGACCGTATTGGTCTGCTTGCACTTCGCCGCAAATACACATATATTCTGTGTGAATTGGGGCAGCAAGGCGCAGAGCCACTGCAATACTGAGGGTCTTATTGTCGAGTCGCGTTCCCATTGCCGATATGGGAACTGTTTGGAGGTAGTCCCCGGAGTGAGGTGCACTCACAGCCTGGAGACGGGTAATCTCCCTATCTGATGTTGCAGCCCTGAGCATGTTGGCAAGCACCTTTTCAGCAATTGGGCTATCCCAGCTTGACTGTTTGTGAGCCAGTGCTGCACTAGGGTTTGGTGCTGGAGCAGCAAGAGTCTCCCATTCGGTGATGGCACTGACATAGCTAGGGTGTTCTATTCCTGCTGAGTCACTGAGGGTGTCAGGAAGAATTTGTCTTATCAACTCGTTTGATGCAATGGAAGAGGATAGGAAAGCTGTAGAGCAATCTGGGAGGATCTGCGTACTCCTAGCCCTCCAAGCCTGACCGGAAGTGAGGCTTGCAACCACTGTCCATCGTCAAGGGAAAGATTCAGTACACTCTCTAGCATGGCCTTCAAGGAGGAGTCATATTCCTTGA